GGAATTCAAGGTTCCCAGCTTTAGCCACAGCTTCTCAATGACTGGATGTTTGATGGAATTGCAAAATTATTATATTTTTCATGTGTTAGATATCATGATTGGGTTTGAAAAACATTTTATCATCTGTGTGTGGTAGGTATGTATGTAGATAGATAAATAAACACATAGATAAATATGATGCCTTGTATTTACTTCAAGAGTACCTGAAGGAATGAAGTAGGTAAAAATAAACATTCTATACTATACTTGTTGAAGTTGGGTGATGGGTGTATCAGTATCTCCTAATAAAATAATAGGAGACCGATATAGATGGACATACACATATCAATATAACTCACCCTTATGGTGGGCCATTCTCTCATCTTTTATAGACATTTATACTTTCCTATAGTAAAAAAAATACACAAATAGGTTATGATTTTCGAAAGCAGTTTCACAATGGTCTTGAAGTTTCAGACTTTCAGGTAATATTTCTGTTGTTCCAATATAATAAATTTGGTAGGAGCCAGAAGGATAATGTAAATCCAAATCCAGTGTTTGCTGCATGTTTTAGAATATGTGGGAATGGTAAATGTCTACCTCTAAAGAAGTCTCTGATGTCAAATTATTTTACACTGTTAACTATACATTTATACTCCCTCCTTTTTTTATAGCTTTCCTTCCAAAGACAAATCTATAGCTATGAAAGCAAAAAGGTATTTTTGTTTAATCTAGATTTGCTTGAAGTAGATGAGTAAATATGGATATGCATTTGTAAATTCAAACTGAAGTACAATAATTGATAAAAGGACCATTTTAGGACCAATCAAGAAAATTAAAGTACCAGTTATCAGCCAAGACTCTGCTTTAAATATTAGTTATACAGTTATAAGCTGCATGTATCTCAGAATGTATGAACTATAAGTACAAAAACATGCACACTGGTCTTGTGGATGTGTAAATGTGCATTTTCAATGATAAATATTATGGCACAAGATAGCCAAGTGTCTTCTTCTCAAAAAAATCAATGCATTGTAACATTTTAAAATAGGTGAAAGTAACATCTTCATTACTTTGAGGAATGACCCTTTTTCAACTTCACACAAACTCCTGGGATGGGCCACCACCCCTGATTTTCAAGTGTTGAAAGCAATTAAAAAGACCTCAATATGTTTCACTTAAAATCAATAAAAACACACTAACACCTGGACACAACCTGAAAATAATTTACTCTTTATTGTGAAATTATCCATAGATTCTAAGGAAGCTACAAGGTGAGTAGAGAGAGACCCAGTTCTTCCTGTGGTTATAACTTACATGATATGGTGCAATATCTAAACCAACCAACTGGCTTTGTTATACTATATGTGTGTAGTGTTATATAATTTAATCACACGTGTGAATTGTGTAGCCACCAACACAATCAAGACACACAGCTATCCCATCATTACAATGATCTCCCTCTGCTTCCGCCATGGCCATATTCCCCCCTCTCCCTGATACCTGACTGCCACTGATCTGTTCATCTCCAATGTCTAGAGAATGTCACATAAATGGAACAACACAGTAAGAAACCTTTGGAGATCAGCTTTTTTTCACTGAATAAAATACCAGGGAGATTCATCCAAATTGCTGCCTGTCTGAGTTATTTGTCCCTTTTTATTCCTAGGTTGTATTTCACTGTATGGATAGACCAGTGTAACCACTTGTTGAGGGACATTTAGGTTAGTTCCACTTCTTGGAAAGCTACTGTGGACAATTGTACATGGGATTTGTTTTGAGGACATGTTTTTATTTCTCTGGAATAGTTGTCCAGGATTGCACTTGGTGGTTTATATGGGAAGAATGTTTATGATTTTTTTGTTTTCCAAGAAATTGTGGAACTGTGTTCTAGAGTGACTGCATTATTTTACATTTCTACCAGCAGTGTGTGAAGATCCAGTTTCTCTATATCCTCAGCAGAATTTGATATTCTTACTATTTTTATTTAAGCTGTTGTGCATATAGATATTTCATTTTCTGTCTCAATTTCATGGCCATGATGGCTAGGATTTTCTAACATCTTTTGATATGATTACTTGTCATTCTTATATTCTCCTTAATAAAATGGCTATTCATGCTATTCATGTCATTTGCTTATTTTCTAACTAGATTGTTTCTTGTTTTAACATTTAATTTTCAAGTTTTCAAGGAAAATTTTTTTTCTTTTATTTAGAGTTAAGACCAGGACAAATATTTCTTTGACATTTCTCCTTGAGGGGTCCTTTTTTTAAGATGATGAAATTGCTGTTGTTTTATTTGGAAAATCTCAGTTGTTAATTATATTTCTCTACTGAGAAGGGAATTGGCTTACTGTCATAAATATCTACTCTGCTCCATTTTCAAGTGTTGTAATTCCACTTGGCATTTTGAAATGATATTGCATAAGCAGCCTGCTGGCCTTACCCAAATCCTATATACATTGTCTTAAAACTCTATTTTCAAATTTAAATACATTTAAAATTAGACCCTGCCATAAGAAAAAAAAATACATTTTCAAATGCAATTCATAATAGTTCTACGTGAACTAAAAAAATTAGCACATAAAGACATGATTAGAACTTTTAACAACACACCGAAATAAGTCTTTTTCAATAAGAATTTTTAAGAATACTGTCCCGTTTGATACTGTTTTTTGTTTTTAATAAACTTTTAGTGATTTGTGTTCATAGTAATATATATTTTATTCAAAAATGCTTCAAAGTATTCAGCAAAGTTGAACAATTTAAAAAAAAACTGTAATGTGGGGCTGGGGATGTGGCTCAAGCGGTAGCACGCTTGCCTGGCATGCGCTGGACACTAGGTTCCATCCTCAGCACCACATAAAAATAAAGATGTTGTGTCCACCGAAAACTAAAAAATAAATATTAAGAAATTCTCTCTCTCTTTAAAAAAAACTGTAATGTCATATTATACTTTTGCAGTGAGTAAAACATCTTTTTTGGTTGATCATTGAAATATCCCTGTGGGAAATGCAGGGTGGGGGACATTAAATTTTTCAAAGACTTGGAGTATAACCTCAGATATGCAGTACCTGTTACACCCATTTGTCTATGTCTATCTCCAATCTAGATAATGTCACATAAATGGAACAACACAGTAGGTGATACTCATCATAGCGCAACAGGCCTGAACATTGACTGATATCATTTAGGGATGTGATGCTGCTTGTGGAAGCAATAGAGATTTTAGCCCAACATGGCTCCACATCTGTCTCAGCTGCTTACAAGCTGCATGACCACATGACATGCTATTGGCCCTTCAGTTTTCTCATCTATGAATGGAGGGTAGTAATGCTTATATCATGAATATTATGAGGATTGTTTGAAATGATAAATATGAAAGATCTAGAACAAAGCCTGGCACACAGTAGCCATCAATAAGTTATATGCCTTCTCAACATAGCCACCAAACCAAATTTTTTTGTGAATGAGCAAAATAAGAGATAATTCATAAGACTAGAGAGATCTGATGGTAAAATTTAACCAAACAATAGTAATTAATTTTTAAAAATTTTCAATCATTATAATATAGATAAAAATTTATTTGGGAAAAATTTACGTTAACCAATTGGTCAAATAAAAACAATTGTTTCTTAACGTAATATAATTAGGTTGTTATTTATTTATTTTGGAAAATAACACTTTGAAAAAATATATATAACTGGCTCTTGACCTAATTTTACTAAAATAGAATCCAATTTGATTAAAGATTTAAATTTCAAAATTTTAAAAATAAAGGCATAAGTGTATCAGAAACATGCATAGATTTTAAAAATAATTTTTAATGAAAATTTTTGCTACACATGACATAATGTCTAGATACCACAAAGAGATCAATAAGTCCAACAACAAAAAATTTTAAAAATGTTAGGCAGCATAGATAAAATACAAAGTGAAATAAAAAGTTGAGAATATTTTTGGCAGAATATACAACAAAAAGAATGACTTTTTTAATACTAAGAACTGTTATAAATAAGGTGAAAAGTATTAATTCAATATTTAAAATAGCAAAAATAATAGGAATTGACTTCAGAAAAATAAATGCAAAGGAACAATGTCCATTTAAAGATGGGCTCTTACCCATTTTCAAATATAACTTCAAATATATTTTCAAATATAACTTCAAACAATAATTTGATATTTTTCAACATCAAAACATTAAACAACACCTGTGATGTTTTGCAATCTGGACATGTGTGCAGTGAAGCAGGTATGTTTATTCCCTTGCTTCAATTGTACTTTGCTGGAATAAAATTTAAGATATCAATACAAAAATTTAAAGTGTACATACCCATTGCTGGCAATTTATTTACCTAGACAGTCCACAAACTTGAAGTTCTATGCATTCAATAATTTTCATTGTAAGATTTTCTACAGAGAATTCTTTGTAAATCTAGGATAAACCTACATGCTCATGATAAAGAATAAAATTAATAAGTATATTCATTTCCTTAGCATGGTATTCTTTTAGCCATTAAAATAAAGGGGGAGAGAGTAGTTCAGATTTCAAATGATTTACAAGTTATTTTGGTGTGAAGAAGGTAATGTGCAAATAATTTTTATAGTAAACTTCCATTTATGCCATGAAAAATAATTATATATATATGCATATAATATGTGGATTAGAAATTTTCTGGAAAGAAACTTTTTAAAATATTGCATAGAAGTAGGGATTTGCACATGGGTTAGCAGAAAGAAGACAATAATACTACTTAAGACTTTTTTGCATCATTTGAAAGTTCCTATATTCTCATATATGTTTTACTATAATTTTTAAAAATTAATGCAGTTAATGTAATGATAAAATATATAAACTATAATGGGCTAAATTCAATTAAATATCATAAGGATCCAGCAGACTATTTTAGGTGCACTAAAACATTTATATATTATTTGCTCTTAAGAGTGAGCTTACAAAATGACTTTGATGGGATGAACTGATATCTTCATTGATATCTAATGCATTTTGTTTTCCCCCAGACAAAGCCAAGGGAAGATCAAGAGCAGGATCCCACTTTGACTCAGCCCGGAGACGGAGCCGAGCTGTCCTTTATCACATCTCTGGGCACCTGCAAAGAAGAGAAAAGAACAAATTGAAAATAAATAATGTAGGTGGTATGTGTGTACACTATGAATGTTAGAATTTCCCCTGATGGCAATATTTGATTCACTAAAGAAAGGCTCCAATTGCTCATTTACTGACTTTTTCCCCACTTTGGCTTATACTTGCCTGCAAAGAACAAACTGGGAAAGGTCAGCAGTCATGAGGCATTTCTATAATAAAAGTGCTTAATCAGAGCGTTATCGCAGCACAGAGATTAGAATAATATTGCAGCATAGTACAAAATGGTGCTGGGGGTGCTGCAAATAGGGACATACTGGTTACATTTTATGAAACAGGATGATGCAGCAAGTCAACTACACACTCATAGTTTGTTGGTCAAATTGCTCAAATTTAATTTTAGTTTCATCTGTTTTGCACTTTATCTAATTTCTTTTAATGTGTTTACCCAGGGGGATCAAGGAAAAGTCAAAGTCATTACTCCATTTAAATATTTATATTTTATGCGAAACAGTTGGAAATTTCACAGAGTGGAACATTAGATTTGAAATTACATGCCATATGTTATAGTTCTCTAAAAGTCCCACTGTTGGTAAATTACAATGGTGCTACTTACTGAAACCTTGAAACCTGGTGTTTTCTGTCCGAAGTCACAGCAAATAACTATGCCAGTAAAAAAAGTATTTCTCTGGAGAGTTTCACATGACATATATCTTCAGAATTTTGTCCTCAGTTGGATTTTAGCACAAAAAGATTCCTTCTTCATGGAGAAACCCAGAACCATGCCTGTTTAGTTGTAGATGTTCAAAGGTAATTTTTAAAATGATGTTAATGTCATTAATTTCCATTGTGGAATCATCAGAACATATCTGGGGTGCTGTGATTATGAGTGGCAAATTAAATATGCAGTCTAACTTGCCAATGACATTTGAAACAACCACAGTTATCTTGGAACTGGTTTAAGCTTCAGAAGTTGTGGGACTTAAGGGTACAGGGGAACCTTCGACCTCTTATATGATACGCTCTGGGAGTATCTAATCTCCTGTATAAATGTTTTGATACCCTTGCATAAGACATTCAAAGTATCTGTTTCTCTAATTGTCATAAACAAAGAAAGATGTATAAACACAGAGTGAGAAGAATAGCACAGAAGTGCTGCAAAACTGGTTCTTCAGTATGATTCCTTTCTGGTGGCTAGAATAAGATGTTTTGATTACCTTTATACTCCAAAGATCACCTGCCATATCTGTGACTGGTCTGCCATGCACTACTGTGGAGAGTCACACTTTACACACTTTTTTTTTCTTTTTTGGTCCTGACTTATTATGAAGGTTTTCTAGGGGCACCTGTGCCTTAGTGTCACATTGACTTAGTAAGAATCCAGGGAGAGACTTAAGAATCCAGGGAGAGACAGTGCACACCACTGGATCTATGGATCCTACCCCTCCCTGGTCCCTATTTACATCTCCCTTAAATTACCAAGTCAGCCTTGGTGACAGTAAATACATTCTAGGAAAAAACAAAGGTGCCCACATCTGGGCTGAATATTGTGCAAGCCTAACCAGCAAAGCACCTAAATAAATATTACCCAGATTCTATTATTCTGAAAGCCGACACTATCTTCTAGCTTTTAGTTGGGAATCACTTAGTTGAGAATTACTTAAGGATGTTTCAAGAATTAGTAAACTTTAAAATGCATTTGCTGAACCTGCTATGTTTCCCTTTAGATTCAATGAAGTAAAAATCTGATTAAAAAAAATCATAACTCCCACTGCTTAGCTAATTGCTTAATTGCTGTTCATTTCAGAAGTATAAACATCAGGGTGGAGCATTAAAATAATACATAGTAATTAAGGATGTCTGATCAACACAGTGGCTCTGATATTACAGGTAAACGTTACCTCTGAAGCCGAGTATGGAATCAGAACTGGTCGTGTTCACCATCTCTTTTAAAGGAGAACAGAGGAGAATGGCTAAAAGATAGATAGCAGAGAGAAGAAAAGGAAATTATCTCGATATTTCTCAACTAAATCTTTGGGGAAATTTTGGCTGCAATGTTTGCATACACATAGAAGAATTCCTAATTATTGATAGCCCTAAACTATTTAAAACAAAATGATTTAAAAATTCCTTTTACTCTAGAGGCATAGGTGTTATTTTTATAAGTGCAGTTTTTAAATGGGAGAAAAAAAAACAATTGGTTCTGAGTCTCAAAAGTAGAAGCAGCAGCTAGAGGATTTGGACCCTAGTCTTCTTCCCAAAAGTCATTATTTTGCCTCTACCTGGCATCCTCCTTGAGACAGTTCTATGGAATAGGCACATGTGCTCCAACCATAGCCAAATGAACTCATCAGGCTATTGGCAAGGTGGGGATGGAGACATTATAACACCTGTAGTCCTGACTCTTACCTTTTCTTGGAACTTATTATGAAGGTTTTCTAGGGGCACCTGTGCCTTAGTGCCTCATTTCTGCATTTCTTGATTCATTACTCTGTCCATTAAATGAGAATGGAATAATAAAAGTGTTTTAAACCAGATCACATGAGAACCTTCAGAGCTTGAAAGGAGAGTGCTATAAATAAATGCCCCAGTATTACCAGCAGGGTCCTGTGCTAGACTTTCTCAAAGACATACACTGGGCTTGGCTGTGCTGCAGTGACTTTAGAAGCATTTTCCTACCCTCTTGCTCATTCAGATGACCATTTCAAAGAAGTGTTGTAATAATATTTTAGGAAACAGTTACCTTAATTAGGCATTGAGTTAACAATTATTTAAATAATTCATTCATAGGGTAGAGGCTAAACTGCGAAAGCATGATTGGCAGCCAGGTGTGATGGTGCATATCTGTAATTCCAGCAACTCAGGAGGCTAATAGATAAATTGCAAGTTCAAAGCCAGCCTCAGCAATTTATTGAGGCCCTAAGCAACTTAGTGAGACCGTATCTCAAACTAAAAAGGGCTGGGGATGTGGTTAAGTGCCCCTGGGATTGATCTCCAGTACCAAAAAAAAAAAAAAAAAAAAAGACATGATTTGCACTAAAGCAATATGCTTCAAAATCAATCAGTAATATATAAAGTCTAGACAAATTGGTTGTATCATACCTTAGGCAAACACCATGTTTGAGGGTCATAAATAATAGGAATTTTCACCCTATTTCCTTCTAAAAGCAAAAGTTTACAAATGTGTCCTTTTTAAAAAACAATTCTAAGAAATTTTCTTCCATTTAAATGGTTTTGATAAAATTTTATAAATATAGTAGTGGGAATAAAGGAGCATCTATTTTTTTTTTTACTTAGGTGATGGTGTAGAGATGTGTGCAGGATTTGAGTTAATAATATTTCAAAACTTAAGTCTAATCTAAGATGTACTGAATTCTCGGCATAATTTTAAAGTAATATGCTTTAACAATAATCTAACATCATTTAAAATAATGTTTAAGTAGCCTATGAAAATGAAATCTGATTAGCAGATATAACAAATGTATTGCTGAACTTTTGCATCAGCTTCACTAATATTTCATGCAATTAGCATTATACAAAGAAAACACTTTACTTACTCTGTTATTTTCCCAATACTCATCCTAGACTTGCTTTCTTCCTTTAATAAGGCAAAATTTCAATTTCTGTAGCATGACAGTAAAAAACCTATTGGATGGAAAATGAGATGCTCCCCAGGGCTTCTGAACATTTCTTGGTACAATAAGTATTAAGGGGAAAAGTTATATTAGAACCTATCTTAATGTTATATCTAGAAGTGCTTATCCATTTGGAGGAGATGGACTCTTGCAGACCCTAACTCTCTCTTCAGTTCACCTGCCGAAGTTCTAATGAGAAGCTCATCCGAGAATTTCATCTGTTTTTCTCGGTGTTAAGCCAATGTCCACCTTTGGAACTTATTCCTCAAAACCAGAAAATGAGGCAAAAGGTCCAATATAAGGGAATTGGATAGAACAAAGATGCAGTGGCAGCAGGTGGGCACCAAAGAATCATCTGGAAGTAGTGGAGCAGTTCCCTACCATGAGGCCCCGGATCAGGAAGTGCCTGGGTGGATTGAGTGAGAATGTTGACAGGAAGTACAAACACATGTTGAGAATGCCTACCTCAGAGACATACCACACACGGGGGGCATTCATATTAGGGTAAGAGAACCATTTACTCACTGAAAGCCACCACTATGAGCTAAGTGTTCCAGATCTCTCTGAATTTTCCCTGAATCTCAGATATTCAGGGCTCTCTGAACACACCACATTAATCTGCCTTTTTCCTCAGTGACTGAGACAAGAAAATAACACTGTGACCTGCAAGTAATATGTATTCTGGAACTTTTAACTGCTCTGTTAATTCAACCTAACTTTCAAATTTAAGTTTTCATTACCTATCTTGTATTTCTCATTAATTGAGGTCAAAGCAAGGTCTGCAAGTATCTGGTCACAGACTTGTCAAATTTCCACACATGCTATTGTTGGGCCTCCCTTTGTCTCATAGCAATAAAGGAACTGTTCATCAAGTTGGACTGCTTTCAAGTGAAATGCTTTTACAGTTATCAAAAACTATTCTTCTGCATTTAATCAGTTGCACAGTGAACATTGCTTTTCTCCTTCCATGACTTGAATAATAACCCTTAATAACCCTTAACTGTTCCTCCCTTTACCATCTAACCAATGGCTGCCCAGTTTCAGAATGTATCCATGTTAACTAAAGCAACAAGATTTGGGGTCCCAACTAGAAACTTCACCATCAACCACAATGCAAAAAAAAAAAAAAAAAAAAAAATGCATGCACAACCTGATTATATTTTTAAAAATGTGTAAATAGGTTTTTACAGTAGACTATTAGTAATCTCCTTTCTAGAAAAAAAAGCCATATTTGCTGATATCAGCAGAATTTCAGGTCAAATATATTCTCTAGATAATGACTGTCTTTTAAAAATACAGAGCGTCCTCATGGCAATAAGTATATAAATGCATCTCAGTGTTTGTGCTGTGTGTAGGATTATACTTGCAACTGTAGATATTTTTAGATGACATTTTAGATAATGGTCTTTTTGTTTTTAATGAACAAAATCTGGACTGCTTACTTTCATGACAAAATTCTACACAGTGTTATTACCTTTAGCAAAGATCTCTGCTCAGTTTTAGTACAGTCATGCATCACATAACAGCAGAGAGACATTCTGAAAAATGTGTTAGGTGATCTCATCGTCAAGGGAAACGTCATAGAGTGTGGCCTCTTAATGCCATCAACAGATGATGTAAACAGGAGATGTATGAGGCTGCTGTTTTATAGTCATTTTTTTCACTATTAGGAGCACACTCTAAAATAATAATAAAAAGTACATAAAGCAAGAGGTATTCATGGAAGCTGACCTGTAATTGTCACCAGGAAGAGAAAACCAGAATGTGGGATGGAACGGATGCTAGCGCCTTTCCGAATGAATTTCAAATGGAAATCCACTTGACTCCACTGTCCAGTTAGCAGTCATTATTTTCTCTTCCAAGTAACTCAAGTAAAAGTGGTGGGAAAAGGCCCTTCCTTTAAAAAGAGATATACCTGCTACCCCCTACAAATTTGGAGCCTTATTTATTTGATCTTTTCAATAATTAGTTTTCTATTTTAAATTATCCACTAAACCTTGAATGATATGGAATTCCAACTGACTGCACACTGGCCATTCATTTGTGTTTCCTGGAATCCAAGTTAATAAATTCTGTTTTAAAATTGAGATTTAAAGATTCACAAAGCATCCTACAATATAAATTTGCACTTTTACACCAGAATTCTCATTTTCTGGAAAACAACTAAATTTTCTTTTCTAATTATTCTTTTAAAAGTAACTTTTAAAAAAGTGCACAACTCAAACTCCTATATAATCATCCCAGTAATTTACTTCTTTAAAAATGAATACATTAAAGGACTAAGTGTCAATTCTAATCCATCACAAGAAGTAAAGGAGAACTTCCAAAGTAGTGACACTTTTTTAATTCTTGCTTTTATTTACAATTGTAACATTTTATTCACATTTTGAGAATCATAGTGAAAATTACTTGCATATGTTTTATCAACATGCTCCTAAGATAGACTCACATTACTTTTTTTTTTTGGAGACAATTTCTAGATTACTATGCTAATCCAATACTTCCTACTTTGCCAAGATATAAAAATTGCCTTATGAAAGTGGATTTTCTGATCTACAAAGAAAAAGTACAGATAGTATGAACATAAATCAGTAACACAGTTGCTCATTACCACTACCAAGTGTCATGCACTGGACATAATTGTATGGAAATGCTTTTATGTGACTTGCAGCTCTGTAGGTTTGTTTATAGCAGCAGCATCACAAATAGGGGAACACTATGTTGAGCTACAACATTACAAAAGCAACCATGTCACTAGGCAATAGGAATATTTTGGTTCTGTTGTAATCTTATGGGACCACCGTACGTGAAGTCCACCGTGGATTAACATAGTTACATGGTGCATGACTCTATGTACAGGTCAAGTTTTACCCATAAGATGTGCTGACATGTGTCATGCATGATCCTCCTCCCACAGGTATGTGTTTAAAGCAGTGTAATTCTTGTCTCTAATGTCTCTTTTCCCATTCTCTTCTTTTTGTCTTTATCCACAGAATGTTTTTGTAGATAAACCAGCATTTCCGGAGTATAAAGTTTCCGATGCAAAAAAGTCCAAATTCATACTTTTGCATTTTAGCACTTTTAAAGCTGGCTGGGACTGGCTTATCTTGTTGGCGACGTTTTATGTTGCCGTGACTGTACCTTACAACGTCTGCTTTATTGGCAACGATGACCTGTCCACCACTCGCAGCACGACAGTCAGCGACATAGCAGTGGAGATCCTTTTTATTATAGGTAAGAACCCGCAATGGGTTTCTTCAGAGATCTGCCTATGGGAAATAAGTCTTTTCCGGATTTTTCTAATGTGAACCTAAACTAAGGTCCATTTGCATGGGCATGATTCAGACTGTGAGGCAAATTTGGGAGAGTCACATTTTTGGATTTCTGAAAATTGCCTCTTCCAGTTTTTCCTCTGTTCCTTTATTCACACAGATCTAGACTGATGTTCTTTTATTCTACATTTATTTTGTCAAAAATGGGGCTTGGAAAGAACACATCAGTTGTATTCTGATAGTGGTCCTGTCCCAGGTATGTGGTTCTGTCTTCATCTTTCAGCATGTGGATGGTGATTTCAGTAAGTGGCCTAGTTACAGAAGTGAAGGGTTACATAAGTTAATCAGAAGAAGCTGTGAATATCTTATTTTAACTTAAGAAAAGGCCCCAGGGATGTTTGCTAGGGGGCCTTTATCTCTAGAATATTGGGAACATCCACTGATATCACATCTGCTCCAATCTTGTAAATGTTTCCCTATTTTCTTTTTCCTTACATCCTCATCTGGTTTAGACCATATCCTAGCTCTTGTTGGCCCATCTAGAACACATTCTAAGTTTCTGTTAAGGGTTAAATAAGAATATTATTTAATACTTCCTGTATGTTATCGGCCACCATTAGCAACTGCTTCTTTACCTGGTCATAGTTGCATAGCACAACATCCAGACTGCAAAGATGAGAGAATGTTTGAAAATTATTTCAAGCAAGTAGTGAACAAAGGAGTGAGAAATGGACCTTAAAATTTCAGAGAAAATAAATAAGTGAAGCAGGTCAAAACCTTTTTTCAGTAGTGGTAGTTTTTTCTTAGTGAGCTGTTAAAGGTTTAGGGCCAGAGTGGGCTCTGTAGCTGAATGTTAATGCTTGTTTGCTCTGAATGAGTTTGTGTGCTCTTGGTGCAGCTTTGGCAACACTATTAGTATTGTACCTACTGGGCTCAGACCCTTAAACCCCCAGTTCCCACCCCAAAAGTAGTAAACACAGAATGTTTCAGCCACTAGATGGCGATGTTGTCTAATTAGGTAGCTTGTAATGACTACAATCTTAATTTTTTTAAAAAAACTAATGACATTTCTTTTATTAGAAGAGTACAACCATAAAGGTATCTATGAAATCACTATTGTATATCAAATAATATCTTAAAGTTTGAACAATAATTTTAAATGAAAATCATGGATACGTTGGATGTGTCTAACACCAATCCATTGTGGGTTTACATCCTTTTCCTGTGCCAACCTTGGATGTCTCCTCCTACCCATCCATGATATACACATACATTATCATCCTAAAATCACTTCCCATGACCTAGTCACAGTTCTCAAGAACTTGGGCAGTATTCCAACATGTCTGAGCCTGTTTTCTTATACTCAACTGGTTCATAGGATCTCATGCGATAATAGATATTATGTCATGGTTTAACAAATCTTTCATCATTTTTATTATAGTTATTATTAACAATTCTATTATTGGAAGAAGTTGTATTTTGAACTTTCTTTTCCACTTTTCCTGAGTTTTAGATATTTGACATACTTAGAAGTGATTTCTGGTACTACATGCTCATTGACTACTGGTTTACCCCCATAAGAACTCATACCCATGACATATTTTATAAATTTTTGCTTGTTTGTGTGTAGGCTGCTTACTCTACTAACCCAGTTGAGACTGGTGTGCTCCCCTGATAGTTGCTCCTAAATTCCTCCGCATTCTCCCTTACTGTCAGCTCAGGAAGCAAGTTGGCTCTCCCAATAGGCAATACCTTTCCAATATTAGCCACATAAAGGAAATGGAAACCCATTACTATTTTTATGCAGTTCAGTGTCTACAAAGATTACTTTAGATTTTAGTCTGACAGCAGATCTTATGAAGCTTCTGCCCGGGAATCCCTTGTTGACTGACTTATTTTTAAAAGCCATAGGAATTTACTTACTCTTTTTTACTATCTTCCTGCTCTTTCTTTTTTTAAATGAGCTTAAGTACATATGCAATTTATTATAGCATATCTGGAAAAATAGTTCAAACTGTCATGGCTCCAAATATGTTTTTCTCAACTTTCGTTCTGTGAAATTTTTCACAAAGATAGCTGAAAAATGATTATTGATAAATAAGCAGAAACACTAGGAGGAAAAAGTGCTTTGTCTATAATGTTGTACCTTTACAATACTAAGTGTTTATACCACTTAACACTTACTAAATATGTGTGGTATAATTCATGTGTGCATTTAGCATACCATTTTTTTCTATTTCTAGAATAGCATTACTAAATTGGCATTTTGTAATACATCAAATGGTCAATTTAAAAAAGGGTAAAAAAATAAGGGTTTTCATATAACTAAAAGATAATGTTTATAAAAATATTTTGTTAATTAGACCAACTCCATACAGATGTTAGGCAATGTCATCACTTTTTAAAATGGAAAGTAATTCAGTGTTCCATGGAAAAAGAATTTGTAGTCAAAATTAAAGTTGGGAGATGATAGATCTCTTTGGGAGATTCACAGTACACTTTAGTATTGCAAATCCTCTAAGAAATCCTGTGATAAAATAAATCTATTTAAATGTGATTAATCCAGCATCATGCTGGATTTATTTTTACCTCAAAACTCATTCCTCTGCAGATCACTTAGTAATACTCTTTTGGCATGACTGACTGAAAAACATTCTTCCCAGATGAATTCAACATGAAGTGTCTGAGTATAATTTTATTAGTCAAAACTTAAATCTAGATAATGGGCTCAAAACTCACCTAAGTATTCTCTTACTCTTAAATTAGATTCCTCTGTAATCCATATTAGTTCTTTGGAATCAATATGGTGCAAAGCTTGGCTGAGCTATAAAATTTCATGTTTAAACTATCCATTGATTCAAAACCTTGTGGAAACTTGAGATGAAAAGTCACTTAATAGTCATCTAATCCAATCCTTCTTACTTCATAGGTAGGAAAACTGAGGCCTAGCAATATGCCCAAAGCCACAGAACTAACTGATGGCAGATTGATAGACCAAATTTCTTTTTTTTTAAGAATTTATAGTCCATATGATTCCATTGCACTCAACCTGCTCTCCTTTATTTATAGCAATGAGACAGAAAAGGAGAGAAAGATCCTACTTATTTTTCTTTCTTCCATGAATATAGAAAATAATAACTTGAATCTATTCAGTCTTGGTAGTGAAGCTGTTGTATATCAATAGATTTGAGAGTCATCTCTCCTCTTTCTTACTAAAAAACCAAAGAACCTTATTTTGTGCAGGCAGCAATATGACCAGACTCAGGGGAAAAAAATATATGAGTTGACTAAACCAGTACTAATTCTATTCCCCTTATCCCATATCTGGTATAACAGCAAGTGTGTGATCGAGTCTCTCCACTAGGACATAAAGAGATCTTTGGCAGGTGGGAGGGGGCTGATTGGAAGTAAGTTTTTCCCTGAACAAATAAGAGACAAGCAATGGTAAAAATATTTGCATCCCCATTTTTGCCCTTTTTCCTGTGATGTGTGAGTAGGGTGATAGGATACGATTTTTATAACTATGCAGGCATCTTACAATCATTAGGAGAGAGATGGCAAGGATGTGCACCTCCAGACTCTGTTAGGAGATTTAAAATTTTCCTTTTATTGGAACCTCTCTTAATTGGATAATTGTTACTAATAACTATATTGTTCTAAAAATACTCTCACACATACATAAAAAAAATAACACATAATCATTTGTAGGTCCTTCCAATGGGCCCTTTCAGAGACTCTAAGCTATTCCTTTTCAAGGGAAATAAATGCCTTTTTCTATCTTCACAATCTTTCCACTGTGAGCCTATTTAGGAGATAATTTTCTTATGCTTATTATCTGCTATTATAACCACAAAGCTTAGACTCATAGGCTAAACCATGACTTGTTCCCTCCAAGAACTTCTCAGAAAACTAAATGTCAAAGGAAACATGGTATACAAGTGTGCTTTCTGTTTACCCCAGTCATAGATCACCATCTTATTTAATAGACCTTCCTAAAGAATAAAATAGAGAAACTGATGGGGGGAGATGGGGGAGTGATGATATAAGTAAAGGGAAAATAGCCAAGAATTTTTCAGAATGGGAAGAACATATGAATCCTGAGATTAAAAGAGCATTCTAGGTACTAAGTAGGATAAATAAAAATATTTCCACATCCAGACACAAGGCAAAAAGAAAATCTTCAAAGCTTCTAGGATGAAAGAAAAGTTATTTATAAAGGTTAATAATTATTGAAATCAGGGCTGGGATTGTGGCTCAGAGGAAGAGCCCTTGCCCAACATGCATGATGTTCGATCCTCAGCACCACATAAAAATGAAATAAAGATATTGTGTCCACCTATAACTAAAAAATTTTTAAAAAATAATTATTGGAATCAGATTTCTCAGCAACAATAGAGGTCAAAAGACTGAAAAAAAAATTTGGATTGGGTCTTTTGGGGGACCCAAGAGGGGAAAAAAAATGCAAGCTATAGGAGATACTGCAAATACATGTTAATTATTCACTGTGGTACAGATAGTATGCTACCTTTTATATTAAAAAGAGGTGGAGGGAGAATATTTAGGAATATATGTACTTGATAATTCTTACACTGTCTTTGGAGAACTGCCCAAGAAATTTCTGAGCTTGCTTGCTTCTAAAGGGTACAAGATCCTGAGAACAATGACAGGAAGATTTTGCTGTTTACCCTCTGTAAAGTTTTGAGTTTTGAGCAGTGTAACTATTTTTGAGTTTTGAGCAAAGTAACCATACTACCAAGTTAAAAAAAATGAATGAATAAAATTACAATAAAAAGCCTAAATATAAGAGATAAGGTAATTACTGAAGAGTTCAGAAAAAGACTGAGCAAAAAAGTAAAGGAAGTGATAAAGATAAGGACCGAAATGAATGCTTTAAAAAAACAAATAAAACCAAGAGCAATTGGGCAAGTTCTGATCAATTTGGAAATGCATATAAAATCAGGA